ATTACAAAATAGAAGTTATGGGATTACAGCAGTTAAGCTAGTGTACATATAAACAATCAAGAATTTAAATGTATTTCCTGTTTGTACAACTGCCTAAATACAAATAAAGCATCACTTTTTCAGTAAATCTTTATTTTGCAGGGAAACTCGTCTGTGAAACCTTTCCCCAAACCATAAAACCTGAGCTTGGCCTCACAGCAGTATGACTCTCGTGGAAACGGAGCTTCAGATTCTTTGCCAGATTTCTAACCTCACTTCAAAGCCCCCTACTCCCTACCTGTGTGTATTATGTTAAGCCTAGTGACTGCTTGCATTCAAAACCATTGACCTACATTGGCTGGTGTCTAGAATAACGGCGAGTCAGTGAGGAGGTTGAGGTTTGTGTGTGTGTGTGTGTACATACATGACGTTTGTGTGTGTGGGGCAAAGGTAATGTGTCTAACCCATACGTCTGCTTCAGGTGATCCATCGCCGCCAGTGTGTGTTTGTACAGATCTGCACATTTCCTCTTTTCCAACTCTCAGTCAGAATGAGGCCAATTGACTGACATGTGCACATTGTGTGTGTGTGTGTGTGTGTGTGTGTGTGTGTGTGTGTGTGTGTGTGTGTGTGTGTGTGTGTGTGTGTGTGTGTTCTTATATGTGAACATTTTGAGTAGTTATCAACTTTCCAAAACATATATTTTTCAAACTTTGTGTACATTGTTTTACCTATTAAGGTGTTAAGGTGTTAATGAGTTGTAGGCCCATAGCACAGACTGTACAAATTAATTTAATTTAAAGCAAAAGTTTAAAGCACTCATGTTTGTTTGTTTGTTAGATATAAGGTTGTGACCAATTTTTGTGTTACGTGAAATAATGCACCCCTCAAATTCATCCGGGGTTGTCCATCCTGTTCTTCCTCGATTGTGTCTCACCAGCACTTAAAGGAGCACACTCCACCAGCGCAGCTCCTTGTGCTGTATTGATGTGGGCTGATTTTGGTCTAAATGCTCGCTAAGGCTACAGCCAGCCATTGGTTAGCTTAGCTTAGCTTAGCACAAAGGCTGGAAACCGCTAGCCTGGCTCAGTCAAATGACAAAATCCACCTACCAGCATCTCTAAAGCTCACTACTTTACCCAGTATGTCTTGTTTGTGTAATCTGTACAAAACTAAAGAGTAAAAATGACAACTTGCCATTTTATTGACCTTACTGGTCCTGGTGAAGAAATAGCCGAACGCATAACCCCCCATAATCTGCAAATTGTTAGTTTTCTGGGTTTTTTTTTTTTTTTTTTTGGCATCTAACCAGCAGCAGGCTAGCTAAGCTAAACGAACCTGGCTGTAGCTACATATTTCATGTACAGATATGAGAGCGGTACCAATCTCTAACTTCCACCAGAAAGCATAATTCCCAAAATGTAGTGTGTGTGTGTGTGTGTGTGTGTGTGTGTGTGTGTGTGTGTGTGTGTGTGTGTGTGTGTGTGTGTGTGTGTGTGTGTGTGTGTGTTAGATTGGCAACTGTGTCTCCTTTGATTGCAGTAGCTCCTAATTAAATGCATCCTCTTTGTTAATTGTAGATGTCTGAGAAAAACTAGTCAGACAAAACCGTGATTAACCGGCCCGCAACTCTCTCCCTCACTGCGCGTTACATTTGAATGACTCTGCAGACATGTGATGTAATGATATGGTAATGATATATTGGGAGCATTGGTGCTGTGGGGAGTTTGGTTCCCCGGTGGTCTGTCCAGCCCTGGGAAAAGGAAGTCCATACAGGAAGTGAGCTGGCTGGGCCTCGGTCCTGCATGACTGCAAACACTGTAGTCTGCCTCACCAGTGTGCATGTATGTGTATGTCTGGAAAGAGTAAGTGTGCACATGCTCGTACACAGACGCACACTAATACTCCTGCACAAGAGTATTAATGCTTATATATGATATGAGAGCGGTACCAAGTGCTTCGGCTTGTTGGTGTGATTTTTTTTTTTTAAGTGCCACATGGAGGTGAAAAGAAAGTGAATTGAGGGCCACATGTAAGCACATTGTGTGAGCAGTGTATACTTGACTAATTTTTGGGAACGCTCAGGTTTCCCAACTTCTTCTTCCCTTCCCTTGACTTTGTGAATGAGTGATGTAGCGGAAAAAGACTCCAAACACTAAAGGCCGATAAAAGAACGTAGTCATCACATCACCTCAGAGCCAAGTTATGTAGTAATGTGGGCAGACACACAATGTGATGACAGGAAAGAACAGAGAGCAACAGAGCAGCACAAAGCAGAGAAGGTCCTCACCCAGACAGTAGTGAATATAATGTGTTAACTGCAGAAATGTAGGAAAAAGAAACATCTTGTTCTCTGCAAGAATAATCCAACATTGTGGAAAGAGCCTTCCTAATGAGTACTTCTTGATAGGTTCTGTATTTTACAGCAGATACTTTTAATTTATGATATTTGTTTTTCAACTTCAACCTTACAGACTTGTGGAAAACATGACGCGACTGGCATTTTTCACCTTGATGCATAAAATGTGCACATGCTCCACTGGTGTGTGTGTGTGTGTGTGTGTGTGTGTGTGTGTGTGTGTGTGTGTGTGTGTGTGTGTGTGTGTGTGTGTGTGTGTGTGTGTGTGTGTGTGTGTGTGTGTGTGTGTGTGTGTGTGTGTGGGGCATGTGTAGGTCTATGCGAACGTGTGTGTTGGTTTGTGCCTCAAACATAGGGGGAGGCGGGGGTTGGTTTGGTTGGTTGGCTCGGTGTGAGCTCTTTGTAAGAAGGGGGGAGTCAGGGAGGGGGAGGGAGGGAGGTGAACCGGGTGTTTCTCTCAGCTGCCTGCTGGTCTGGTTGCTGTTGGTAATTTTGCTTGATGAGATCAGAGGGGATCGGCTTTCAGCCCTTTATGTCTCTCTCTCTCTCTCTCTCTCTCTCTCTCTCTCTCTCTCTCTCTCTCTCTCTCTCTCTCTCTCTCTCTCCTCGCCGCTCTCTCTCACTCTCTCGGAAAGACTGAAGTGGAACTGAAACTGGAGTGGGGCTCCAAAGTCTGTCAGCGGCGAACGTCGTGACGGCGCTGCCTTGGAAACACACCTTAGAGTTGGAGCGCAAGTGTGTTTTGGGGGTGAGGGGTGCGAGGAAGAAGTGATAGCCTCGGGACAGATAAGCTCCAGGGTAGGGGAAAAAAGAGGGAGGAGACAAGGGAGGGAGGAGGAGAGAGAGGTGGGCAGCTTTCTGAGGAAAGAGGGAGTCTCTCTTTCTCTCTCACTCAGACTTGTCGGCTGCTGGTCTCTTCTTCCTCCTGTCTGCTCTTCTCTCTCTGCCGGTGGCTGGCTGGAGGAGTTTAGCTGTGTTTTGGCTGCCTGTCTGGATTTGAACATGAACTGAAGAGCTACATGCAGTGAGACATGAGAAGAGCCACTGGAGATTCACTGTAAGCGGCTTGATCTGTTGTGCTGTCTACAAGGTGTAGTGTGTCATCGCTGAAATTTGTCTCACTGAAAGAGAAATGTTGCTATTTCAGGAGTGTGAGTGTGAGTGTGAGTGTGAGTGTGAGTGTGTGTGTGTGTGTGTGTGTGTGTGTGTGTGTGTGTGTGTGTGTGTGTGAGCTGACAATGTATACAGTGATGTATGCCTGAGGGTTAAAAGTAGCTGTAAGTATGATCATGATTCTGTTTACCTTAAACAAGATGAGCCCACACACTGCTGCTGCTTTTAACCTTTTGACGATACTGAACATTCTCTTCTCCCGTGGATGCTACCGTGCACTCTGTCTCTCCGTCTCTCCTCCCTTCCTCCCTCCCTCTCTCTCCCTTCTTGCTTATCTTCTGTCGCCTTTAATTCTCTTAATGGTCTTGAGGCCCCAGCTGGCCAGCTGGGATACCCCTGTGTGTGTGTGTGTGTGTGTGTGTGTGTGTGTGTGTGTGTGTGTGTGTGTGTGTGTGTGTGTGTGTGTGTGTGTGTGTGTGTGTGTGTGTGTGTGTGTGTGTGTGTGTGTGTGTGTGTGCTTGTGTGTGTGTGTGTGCTTTTGTTGGGGAAGAGATAGTGAGTTGAGAGTTCTGGGATAAGCTACCCTAGGATTTCCCCCGCTCACATACAATAATAGGATATATCCTGCTTTCTATTTTTAAACACACCATTTGTCTATATGTTACAAACACCTCTAATCTGATGCCTTGATCCGCACTGCCTGCAGTAGCTTTTCTCAGTGTTGTGTTTAGGCTATGGATTGGGGTGGGAAGGTGTATTTGTGTGGTCCATCCTGGGATGGAGAGATAGCAGCTCTCCTTTCTGACTTTATCCTTTTGTTTTGTCAGCTGCTGACCTCTGTTTCTCTCTCTCTCTCTCTCTCTCTCTCTCTCTCTCTCTCACCATCTCTTCCATTGTTTGTGTTTTCTTTATTTCTGCCAAATTCTTACAGCCTTCCTCTGCCACAGCCACTGCCTGCCTTTTATAGTTAGTCCCTCATTTGAAATAATCACTCTTTTCTGCAGTTTTTTCACTGTCCTTCATTTGTTTCTCTTAGTTTTCTGTCTTTCTCTGTTTGCAATTCGAGAACAGTGGTGAGGTTTCTCAGTATAACTGTTTGTGTGTGTGTGTACATGCTTGTGTGGATGTACTTTTGCCTGTCCAATGTTCTGGCATAGAACCCTTTGTTCCACTTTGCACAGAGCAATTTTGGAGAACACCATGTTGAAAGAGACAAGTGCTCCAATCATTAAACCTGTGTGTGTGTGTGTGTGTGTGTGTGTGTGTGTGTGTGTGTGTGTGTGTGTGTGAGTGAGAGACAGAGCTATGGCTGCAATTATTTCCAGTATCTGTTGATTATCATTTGACTAACTGACGTATTGCTTTGTCTGTAAAATGTCAGAAAATTGTGAAAAATGCTCTCCTAAAGTTCACCAGAACCCAAAGAGAAAACCCTTAAAAATGTTTGTTTTGTTTGGCGACCAAACCAAAACTCATACATATATTTAATTTACGATGACATAAAACTGAGAAAAGCAGTTAAATCTCACATTTGAGAGCAAACGTTTGGTATTTTTAGCCATGGTTCAAACTGAAATATATCAACTATCAACTATTTGATGGATTGACATAAAAAACTATAATGACATCCCTGTACGGTGTGTTTAGAGCTAAATGGCAAATGTTAGCAGGCTAACACATTAAGCAAAGATGGTCAACATAGTAACATTACCTGCTATTACTTGCTGCTGTTTGCATGCTGACTGTTAGTATGTTAGTACACTGACGTTAGCATTTCGCTCAAAGCACCACAGTACAGCCTTATGGAGCGGCTAGCATGGCTGTAAACCCTTAGCCTTGTTCCTTAGTAAATAATATAAACCTTTAATCGATTACTAGAATCATTCTTCTTCTGCTGGTTGACTAATTCATAAAATGACTTAGGGTTTCAGCTATGTTTTTGAAACCAACAAAAATTTGTGGCCCAAATGCTGTTTAAGTAATTCCAGCCTAACAGTGTTTGAATGAAAATGTAATTCATGGGTTGTGTTTGACTGGTGTGGGTGTGACGTGTTTCATCACACTTTTGTGCAAGAAGTTTGAATGTTAAATGAGTGAGGCAGCAGCAGTGCGTCATATTCAGGCAGACTTTGATTCAGTTTCATTACTGCTGGGGTTGTGAATCTGCCACCTGAATCTGCTGCTACCCCAGAGAGCTTTATGGATGGCACCGGCAAGGCCGTCTGTGTGTACGTGTGTGAGAGATGAATAGGTTTTGCGTAGGTGTCCGTAAAGGAGTGCTCAATCACTGTAGCACTAATAGTCTTCCCTTAGGGGACCATGGATTTTAAGGTGTCACAGCAGACATGAGGAAATATAAGAAGTTAGTAATACAGTGTGCCTGCGTGTGTGTGTGTGTGTGTGTGTGTGTGTATGTGTTTGTGTGTGTATTTATACATCTTCTCTATCTGTCTATATACACTGCATGTTATTTTTTTTCAGCCAACTAGTTAGTTTCAATTCCTAGATCACCAGTGAAGCAAGTTCAGTATTTAAGAAAAAGAACCAGGGAGTTTTAGGAGGGAATTTTTCACTTCACCAAAAGAGCAGATTAATGTGAGCTGAGCAGGAAGATGTGGGAGAGGGAACATGATTCATTTGGGAGCCGATGACTGGAGTTACTACGTAAAGACTTCAGACTATGATGGAAGAAGGAAAGAGAGAGGCTCTGCTTCTATGGAGTGGGAATACAGAAAACTGATGCATCAGGGAAATCTCGCTGAAGGCAACCATCAACTTGTGTATAAAGGTCATTGCTTCCACAATACATGCATAGTCAATTTCATCTTTGTGTGAGTGGGGGTTTTGAGCATGTGTTCTAGTATGCAGCTGCGTGTGAATTTGCTTGTGTTGGGTGTTTTGCAGACTGTGCTCTTCCTGCATGCTGAGCTCGCATTGATTGCCGCATGGTAGACACTGGGGCATTTGGTAGCATGCCTCAGACAATTTGTACCAATTGAGAGGGTGTCAGCTCTGCTGTACTCTCCATGGATTTACTGGTACAGTGAGGCAGAGAGACAGAGACACAGACAGACAGACAGGCAGGGAGACAAATATACATGAGAATAGGGATGAAAGTAGAGAAAAAGTAGAATAGAGGGGGAAAAAGGACAGATAGTTGGTGAAAATGGAGGATACAGATGTGTGAGGGAACGGGAAAGATAAAAAGTCAAACCTACAAAGAGAGACAGTGATAAAAGAGTAGCAATATCTCCTTCTACAACTGCCTAATAAGTCCACAGATGTCTCTATGAGTGCACCACTTCTTCTCTTCAGCTGCAAGATAAGTTCAAAGTCCTAGTCTGGAGTCTGTATTTTGACATCCTGCTAGGAGCCAGACGGTACAGTTTATGTCTAGCTCTGGCATCTTCAGCTACCCAGGGATTCCCTCAGTAGGAATGAATGTCAGCAATGAAGAGGGTGGTAGTTTGTTTAATCTAGCGGGTACTGCTGTTGCTATGAAGAGCTATAATATAACTGTGTGTGTCTGTTTTTCTGCGTGTGTTTGTGTTTTCATGCGAGCTCTGTTTTTATACACTGTGTTGCCATAAAAGTCCCCCCAGGAGTTGAAAGTGGAAGAAGTGACCACTTTCTGATTCATTTTTCAGATGTCATAGGCATGAGGCAAAGTCCCTGTAATTTAGCATGACAGTTAAGGTTCAAATAAGGTCAGAGTGGTTTAAAATCTGTTGTGTAACGGTGGTAAAAAGTGATATGGTCTAAGTTTAGGCGGTGAATAAAAATCCTTTAGGACAAAGCCAAAACAAAAGCACAGGGGTGAGCAAAACTACACCACATCTGTTATAGGGAGACACATAAAATTAGTTTGGCCTTTGCCTGTTCTCAAACTTCAAACTGTTTCCTTTTTATTAGAGCTATTCTGCTCTTCACAATGAATTTCAAGCTTGACCAACATATCAGTGAGTGAGCAATTTTTAAATGAACACGCTACCTAATTCTGCTCTTAGATTTCACAGCCGCTAGAATAATTTGAGTTCACCAACCCTTGAAAGGTGAGTTCATTTTGCACACTGCTGACGTATTTTAATGCAAACTCATTGCGGTTCCCTGAGAAAAAGACAAGACACCTCAATATTTCAGGAGGAAGCTCCTGAATTTCTCATGTGATAACCAAAACAGAAAGAGACGCATGACATTTTTTATTCGCAGTTCATTAAATGTTTCATTGCATGGACTCTCTTTTGAATGTCCTTGGTTTCTTAGTGGTCTTGGGGGCAAGTCATGTGTATAACTAATTAAAGGAAAAACTCTTGAAGGAATAGTTTGACATTTTGGGAAATACACTTCTGGTCTTGCCAAGTTAGATGAAAAGATCAATACCATCCCCGGACAGTGCCAGACTATTTGCTCCCCCTGTTTCCAGGCGTTATGCTAAGCTAAGCTACCCAGCTGCTGGCTGGAGCCTTATATTGAACAGACAGATTAGTATTGATCTTCTCATCTAACTCCCAGGAAGAGAGTGAACACGTGTATTTCTCCAAAATGTCAAACTCTTCTTTTGAGATACCTTTACAACATTTGCCTGCATCTGACCTGCTAAAACGAACCCCATTGTTTCCATTCACGGTATTAGTGGTGCAAGACAACAGCTGTTTCTGCCTCTGTCACTGTGTCTGCAGGTGGCTGGGTTGATAACTTATGGGCCAGCTGATCTAGGATGAAGGAAACGCACGCACACGAGCATGGTCTCAGGCCAGACAGTGATGCATGAACACAGAAACCGGAAGGCTGAATGACCGTCTAACTATTAATCCCGACCCTGTGTGGCCGTATGGGTCACTGGTTGACATAAATGAGCAATCACACAGTAAATACTACTGTATTTAACATCACTTGGAAAACATGGTTTCTGTTAGTCATACGTTCATATTTAAACATGGTGCCTTGGAGAGCTTCACATGATTTCTGTGGAAAAGCCCACAGACATATCTGGCTCTCTGAGGGTGGTGAAGTATGAGGGAGAGGTTCCTCAGCAGTATCCTCTGTGTGTGTGTGTGTGTGTGTGTGTGTGTGTGTGTGTGTGTGTGTGTGTGTGTGTGTGTGTGTGTGTGTGTGTGTGTGTGTGTGTGTGTGTGTGTGTGTGTGTGTGTGTGTGTGTGTGTGTGTGTGAGACACACTTGAAAGTCTGTCTGCCCAGTCAGTGCTTGTTGGACAGTTTTAAATGAAAACAGTCTGAGGCACACATGCACACGCATACACACACTGTCCTCTTCTCATACAATGTTACACACACACACCGCCCTCACATGCTTTTTAGTGACTAGAGCTTGTTAGTAGTACAGCAAGAGAAGCCAGATGAAGCCATCCCGCACACCAGGTGCACACTGCTGTCTGTCCTCTCCCTGCTTATTTCATTCTTTTCCACTTTTTTGACAAGGCTTGTAGAATACTTTGTTTTAATGTAACTTGTCGGCTCCTTTTTGTCTCAGAATCACTGACCTTTTTGCTACATTCCTCTCAATTCAGATTATTTCTTTTTATTCCACCAAGTTTACCCATTTCCTCCTTTTGCTCCCAGTCTCTCCCATAACATCGATCCCCTATAGAACAAATTTGTATTATTTGATATTTACAAAACAATAACCAAGTTCAAAATCATAGTAGAGCTGAAACAATTAGTCAATACATTGTTTAGTTGACGGACATCACATTAATCGGCAACTATTTTGATAATCAAATAACTGTTCAAGTAATTTTCAAGCAATAATGCCAAACATTCTCTAGTTTCAGCCTCTAAAAGTTGAGGAATTTTTCTTGTCCAAATGATGAATTAATAGTTAATCAAATTCTTTAGTTGCAACCCTAAATCATAGCATTATCTGTGTCTTTGCTCGTGTGGCACCGTGGCATCCCCTCCGTACCTGTAACCCAGCTGAAAGTACAGATGAAGGGAGGGGGAAAGAGTGCGGTCGGCCCTAAATGAATTGGATGAAAGACGAGAGAGATGGAGGGAGATGGAGGAAAAGTAAACAACAGATGGCTGAAGCATGTTGCCGCTATTCGCAGCAGCAGACGCTGCGCCAGCCCACTGCCAGCCTCTTGAGAGGTTACTATGCAACGGCGACCGTGACGACACGGGGTCAGAGATCAAGTGCCTCCTTGATGACAGCCCATAATGCCAGATTGTCATCCACATGCTGTGCCAGACTGGGCCAGCTGAGACCTACACACACTGAGAGTTTGTACAGTGTTAAATAGTGTTTTCTTTGGCTGAAGTTTGGCAGTGATGACTCTGGAATCTTCCATGCAGTGTCCACCCTTAACCCACCTGCCAGCCTTGATGACACACACTGAGGCAGCTGTGTCTGTGTGTGTGTGTGTGTGTGTGTGTGTGTGTGTGTGTGTGTGTGTGTGTGTGTGTGTGTGTGTGTGTGTCCGAGCACTGAACCCTCTCATGCTGAGGAGCAAACTGAGTGGTGGCACACATTGGCTGCCAGCTGCCATGACCTCATTCACAGCGAGAGAGACAGAAAGAGAAAGACAGAGAATGGGAAAATGCAAGCGGCCAAAATGAGAGGATGTGTGTGACTGTTTGTGTGTGACTGTTTGTGTGTGTGTGGAGAGCATAGACATTTCACACAAAATTACACCATTACCTCACACTGTGATGTGGTGTCTGACTGGTTTAGTTGGAATATTTGTGCTTGTGTCATCAGTCTTTGGTTAAAATAAATTACTTATTTTGACGTATATTTTCAGCTCATTATTATTGACTTTCCAGTTCATGTTAGTTCATGCATAGATTGAGACAATAAACTGAATACAGATGCACTAGCAAAGCAGGAACCAGGATGTCACGTAATAATAGTGTACAGGCAACAGTAGAATCGGAGTTTAACCTCCTGTGTATCTAGCATTAATACTTGCAGTGTTGACACGAAAATAAACAGAGGTGTGAGACACTCTTACCAGAAGAAGCGTCAGTTCAGTGCACACATAAATGGCTGCTTTGTGGTTTGTGGCGGGTGAGGTCAAGTTTAGCAGTAGATAGATGAGACACATCTAGAGAGTGGTGTCATCCACTTCCCTGTCTGCCGGAGGTGTAACTGACTCTTTTCCTGTGAACAGGAAGCACCAGCTGCTGTTCCTGGAAGAGATCACTACGTCAGTCTGTGTCTGTGTCTGTGTCTGTGTGTGCGTGTGCGCGTGTGTGTGCGTGCATGCGTGCGTGTGTGTGTGTGTGTGTGTGTAAGATCATCTTTGTGGTGGCTTTATAAACTAAAATATGGTGTTCAAGACTAATGTAAACTGAAATAACATTATATGCTTGACTGGGGGAACACATTTAATTACCAGAACTATATTTTTCTACCACTCTTAAATAAAAAAGGTACAATGTATGTTTAATTTTATTTGGATATGTGTAAACTAAAGATAAGCAATAAAAAGAAAAATGAAAAGAAACATTGGATCTTCTCTCTTCACATTCAAAAATCAACATAAATTAAATAACATTGCCAGACATTTTTAAAGAGTTTATGATCTGTTGTTTTTAACACAGTGTCACCTATACCCCAAATTATACAAAAACAAATGATTGAATTTGAAACTGAAATTCAACTGAAACTGACTAAAAACTGAACAAACTGTCCCGCCAACACATTACACTGAATTACATAAAAATGGAAATTATGTTCTAAATATGAAACCACGATATCAACCTCAACTGGGTTTCACTAAGGAATGGAGATAAATAATTGCCCAGTGTTTTGTTGTCCCTCCTGTTGTGTTGATAGTTTTGCAGACTCAGGCAGTACTCATTAAAATTACATTACCTCAGTGAGAGCGTGGCGGCTTCAAATCTGGGCAGTGTTGCACAACTGGGGAATGTTTGCAGCGTTGCATGCATGTACTGGTATTGGCGTATGACTTTGTTGGGAGGATGCATGATGAGTCAGAGAAAATGTGTGTGTACGTGTGTATTTGTGCCAGTGTGTTTATCCTATTCATTGTTTATTCCTATCAAAACAAAGCCACAAGAAATCTGTGAAACAAGAAGTTTTGCCAACAATTGTCATCGGTGTAACTTTCAATCATCATCTCTATTTGTATTTCTTGTTCTTTTTCTAGCTCATTTGTTAGACTATAGTTTGCCTTAAACTATTCAGGATTGTCAAATAGTGGGGTTAATGCCTCTTTGTTAATCTTTTTTCAATCTCTCTTTCTCAACAGGAGTGGCAGCATCTTTGTCTTTCTGAAGACATTTGTGGCATGAAACCAGATCGCATTCATCTTTCATTCATCACCTCCTTCATCTCCCCCCACCACTCTCCAGTTAGGAACTCTCCCCTCAGCTCCACCGCATTGATGAGGTAACGTCAAGCTCTACGCAGCGCAGCACCCACCTGCACAAACACCACCCTCCCCCCCCTTCTTTCCCCTCCTTCTGTCATCCCTTCCATCACAGCCATGGGACAGAAGATATCTGGTGGGATTAAATCTGTAGATGGTCGCGGGGAAAGCGGTGGCTCCCCATCCTACCGGCCTTCGGCTCACCGCCGGCAGCACCCGGTATTGAGGGATCCAGATTTCTCTAAACCTCCCAGGCTGGATCTCCTTCTGGACATGCCATGCGCTGGACTGGAGACCCAGCTCCGTCACGCATGGAACCCTGACGACCGCTCGCTCAACATCTTCATCAAAGAGGAGGATAAACTGACATTTCACCGCCACCCAGTCGCTCAGAGCACGGACTGCATCCGGGGGCGGGTCGGATACACGCGGGGTCTCCACGTGTGGAAGATCCACTGGCCCTCCCGCCAGCGCGGCACCCACGCCGTTGTTGGAGTGGCAACCTCAGAAGCCCCTTTACATTCTGTTGGGTACACGGCGTTGGTGGGGTCGGACTGTGAATCCTGGGGCTGGGATCTGGGACGCAACAGGCTCTACCATGATAGTAAGAACAGGGCCCATAGCTCACTGCCCACTTATCCTTGTTTCCTGGAGCCTGAGGAGTCATTCACCCTGCCGGACTCTATTCTAGTGATTCTGGACATGGACGAAGGGACGTTGAGCTTCATGGTGGATGGACAGTATCTAGGAGTCGCATTTAGAGGACTGAAGGGCAAGAAGCTGTATCCCGTTGTAAGCGCCGTGTGGGGGCATTGTGAGATATCCATGAAGTACATCAACGGCTTGGATCGTAAGTATCATATACTACACTAACAACACATGGTTGAGTATGAAGGAGATTGCTCAATGCTGATATTTCCTGATATTTGTGTATACAAGAGTCTTTGAATTCATGGTGAAGAAAAGCTTCTAATCCAAAAATGTAATATGTCTTACAAGACCAAGCCATAGTTGTTATAGCCATGGATGGTTGTTGGTACAAGAAGAAAGAATCAACTGTGGTAGCCCGGTCAGTTTGTGACATGTCACCACTTTTCCTAGGTTGTGGTTAAGACTTTCAATTTGTTATGTAATGCTGTACATTTCTTAAGCAAACAGGATGAAAGTTAGTTTGGCAACAAGGGCAGCCCCATTTTCTAAAGCGGAAAAATTAACTGCTCATCATCGTATGACGTGTGGTCAATTTGACCCTTGGGAAAGGTTAAAATTACCATATGGCTGACCTCTGTTTTGGGTTAAGTAGTCCTGCAGGAACTGACCTCCTGAATGTGAAGTTCTCTCGTGCCTGTTGGGGATTTCTGCACATATTACTAAGCAGTTCCTGGGCTATGTACCTGAGGAAGCACAAACTGATAATCTTGTCATATGTAGTCTTACCTGCGCCTGTAGATATCAATAACACTGTAGTACCATATTATGGGTACGTTGGCTGTTCCAATTAATGTTTTTGGGACACTGCTATCCTCAGCTAGAAGGGTTTGTTCTGCACTAAATAGATCCTGGTTGTAGCCACACTACATCTGGCTCCAGAAATATTTCAAGAGGTTGTTGTGTCTGTGTGTGAAACAGCTGTGTTTTTCAGTGGTTTGAGAAGGAGATGAGTTCAGAAAGAGCAGTTTGGATGTTATTCTGCCTGCTTTGGGTTTAGGTATTTGAATATGATTTGTTCTGTTCTCAGGAGACTCTGCATTCTGTTTGACTCCCACTGTCTGTCTACATGTGTGTGTTATGAGAGAAGAGACAGGCTTTTCCTCCCATCGCAGTCTAAACAGAGTGACTCTTTGAACAGCTTGTTAGAGAAGCTCTTACGTACACATCACGGACACCTACACACATGGACACACCATCCAGGAAGGGAAAGTGTGTTATGAAAACATGCTTATGATCTGACTCTGGCCGTCTCTCTCCCCCGTGTTTGCAGAACCACATGGGTCTTATTTGATATCACAACAGGGTGTGTTTTTGTCTGTTACCCGGCAGAAAGCTGAAACCCATCTCTCTCTCTTTGTTACATCTGATTTTTCTTTGCCCAATCACTTAAAATTCTTAAAATTTTTCTTAGAAGTTCTCTGCTCTCAAGGGTCAGTACGACATCAAGAGTCTGCTTTCGACCCTTAAAAATAGGCCGTAAGCATCATCATAGCTTATAGCATAACTTAAATTGGGTGTTTTGGTCTTAAAACTGAAGCTGGCCAACTAGAATATGAATCAAAATGAAACGCAAAATACTTGGCTGAATATTTAAGGCTTGACTTTCTTAACCTCTGGTTTAAGTCCTGCCTGCCTGTTTGTGTGATGTCCGGTAATCTCCTACACTCAGGCTGTGTTCAAAGTACTCACTTTAGCTGTTGAAAGCACCTCACGTCAGCCATTTTCCATTTATGGAGCCATCTGCTGGATTTCACGGTGAGTCCGTGTGATGGGCCACCTTGGAGAATATGGAGAATATTGAGTCTGTTCAAAGCCCTCGCTTCTGCAAGCATATAGACTTCGTGCTGTGAAATGAGGTTTGACTGTTGAAAATGTGCACAGCTTAATGCAGGGGGGAGAGTGAAGGTTGAAAGACTCATCCTGATAGGTGTATCTTGAATAGGAAAAAAGGGAGTAGGAGAAAGCAGGGATGTGTGTAAATGAGACACAGTAATATAAAAATACACACTTGTGATCAAAGAAAAAGAACAAACAGAATAAAGGTTTGGTTATACAAGTTACACAGTGAAATTAATCGGCACATTCATGCTAAATATTGGTAATATCGTGGTGGGCTAGGTGAACTACTGTTAGTGGTAAGCTAACAACTGGCAAGACATCATTTAATTCAAAAATAGTTATACTGAAGAGGGAAAAGTATGGTTTCTAACAGGTCAATGAGTTCACTCAGTTTATTCAAAAGACATAGTTGTACTGTTGACTCCTGTCTTGTCTAATAAGCTACGATCGCTCCCTCTGTTTTGGATTCTCTGGCTCTCAGCACTGTCGAGATGGCTTGCTGTTAGTCAGCAGTGCAAATTTGTGGGTCAAAGTTCATCAAATGCAATGAGTGAATCCATTTCCACATTGATAGGTTCTACTGCAGTATTTTGCCATTTTAAACACCGGTGTGACCAGGCCCTAAAACAGTCATCTCTTGTTAAAAAGAAAAGTCTAAAAAAGGTACTTCATTATGCAATTATGCATTCCAAAACTCAGAAACAAAATAAATAAAATCATGTTTTTGTGTGTGTGTGGAGGCAGACGAAACAAAGGCTTACTCGAAGGACGGGTCTCAGGTAGGGGAAATCCACTTCAACCACCAAATCTAAAAACAATGCTTTCAGTTTCTCATTCCACATAACCACATTCATGGCCGAGAAGTCTTTTTGGGTTATTAGTGCGCCGGTCGTTGCTCTCATCTGAAACAAAGACTGTGAGGAGAGTAATATCTCAAGATTTCATTCAGAGGTGAAGTAAATAGCCTTAGGGGTTTGTTGCAGAGGGGGCCAACAGGGTATGATTACAGTCTGCGTATCGGCTTTGTTCAATATCAGTTTTGAATTGAATTGGCTTGGCTTGTCTGCCCCGCAGATGACTTGAATAGTGAGAATTAAGCCATAATTGCTGTCTGCCTGTAAGTGTAGGAGTGTGTTTGAATTGCAAAGCAACAGTATATGGTCAGCTCCAGAACAGGCATCATATTAACTGTCTTTTGCTGCTTTCTTCTCTGTTAATTGCTTAGTGCATCATTTGTGTTGTCTTAGTTCAAACCTCAATAAGTATAAGGCATAAATATGTTCTGTGTGTTTATGAGTGTGTGTGTGTGTGTGTGTGTGTGTGTGTGTGTGTGTGTGTGTGTGTGTGTGTCTTGTCATGAAACATCCTCTGGGTAGTTCAGTAATGACTTAATCTAACAGGCCTTCCCATGAGGAGCCACTATTGGATTGTTTGTGAATTATTGTTGTGAGGGAAACAACACGACTGCAGGGTATTAAAAAGAGATTTATAGATACAGCGACTCCTTGCCACAAACTGTTTGTTTTTCTCACTCCGGCTCAGGCCCCGCTGCACCGCAAGCACTTGATCATCACTTTGCTCCACCTTCAGATCATTGCTCCCATTCCTGCAGTAACACACCACGTAACCAGTGAGACGTGTAACCAACATCATTCCAGGCTCGTGGTAGTTTTGGGAAGATCACACGAAGCAATCAGGTTCAGATAAGTATGTGTAATAAGCACTAACGCAAAGAAATGCTGAGCGAGGTCCAAACTACATTATCCTGTAAATGTGATGTAAATTATTCATCCTTCCAGCGCTCCGACTTCAAAGAATCTCCCCTGTTCTATCGAGAAGTGAACAGATTCCTGTTTGCCAGATACCGTGTATTTCACTTAGTTGTTGCTACATTACATAAACACGTGTAACTAATTTATTTTGCTACCTTGAAGCACACTCTCATCTGCTTCTGTCTAATGTGTGTGTGTGTGTGTGCGCCTCTCTCTCACACACAGCTCTGTATTCTCTCTCGTCCTGTCTCTATAATTGTACCAATTAGCGGCGCTTTGATTCGCTACAATAGGAGCTGTCTTAGCTTCAGCCCTGATATGTGCCACTTCCTCTCTTTCCCTCTTTTTCGTCCTCTCTTCTCTTTGTATTCAAGCACACATCACACCAAACTCCAATGCAGAATCTGGCAGCTTAATGTTTCGTTCTTTATCAGCTAATATACAAACCACCCAGTATATAATGGCAGACCTTTTTTGAACCATTAGAGGCCACTGTTGGGCACATATGACTGTCATCGGGTGGTTAAATCCAATTTGGACGATTGGTTATAACTTCAGTAGAAGGATTACATAGTCTCTTCTGACATTTAAGGTTCTTTATGCAACAGCTGTGAGATGCTTCACTAGCACAAAGCAGTTTCAGCCTCACACAGTTTAGGACAGTGTGGAACTTGGAAGTTGGGTATAAAAGAGGGAAAGACAAAGATGGTGATGATGATGATGCAGACGGTAACAGTGATGGAATAAAAAAGGCAGAGTGAGTTACAGCAGTGAGAAGTAAGTGAAACCAGGATAAGATCTAAAAGTAGCCAAGACCATACTGAAGTTTTTGTCAGTAGAAGGATGGAGCCAGAATACAAAGGCATCGAGAGGGAGGGTGTGAACAATAAGGACAGAAAGCAGAAAAGCTAGCGGAACTGTGCAGTTGTGTGGGATGATGTGAATGAGGCACACTCAGCTGACTTAAGATGAAAAAAATTGTCATATTTTCAAAGAAGTTTCAAAACTGCATTGCAACACTCCCACATCTGTGCGCCATCGCTTTGTCTGTTTTAGCTGCACTGTGTGAAAGATGACAAACACACATAAAGACAGTGGACTTCCTAATGTGGCATTTTGCAGCACGCAGACACAAATACTAATACTGGGGTTTTTTTGTTGGCTGGGATTAATTCATACTTCATAGTTAAAATCACAATTGCAGGCTTATTCGGGCGTCACATTCCAGCAGATCTGTCAACGAGAAGTGACACACTTTTTTTTCTCTCCTGTAAGCTGGCCTGACACTCTGACCTCCCTTCCACTTCCCTACTATTCAGTCTGCAACACATGAGCTTACCAACTCCAGGTCAGACCTAAACCAGCTGCTGTTGCTGCTGCATGCACCAGCACTACAGAAAACTGAGATCTCTTGAGTTATCTGAAATTGAATGACCTGAAATTGGCTCTTTCTGGGTTTGTTTTGTCTTACTGACACAGTATATCTGCTTCCCAATGCAGTACAAATATTCTTCTTTTCAATCATTTG